ACACGAACAGACAGCTCTAACACACGAACAGACAGCTCTAACACACGAACAGACAGCTCTAACACACGAACAGACAGCTCTAACACACGAACAGATAGCTCTAACACATGAACAGGTAGCTCTAATACGTGAACAGACAGCTCTAATACATGAACAGACAGCTCTAACACGTGAACAGACAGCTCTAATACATGAACAGACAGCTCTAACACGTGAACAGACAGTTCTAATACATGAACAGACAGCTCTAACACATGAACAGACAGTTCTAACATATGAAGAGATAGTTCACACCGCGTGCCAAGACGGCTCCCTCAGACTGGCCTGCTGGCAGGGTGGATTTCACTCGGATTTCAGAAGCTCCCCACATCCTAACTGATGAGCGAGGCTCACCATGCAAACTGTGTGGTTTATGCTGAACTCCAGCTTTCCTTCAGGGCATGTGGGATTTCGGCCCCTGCCGGGCAGAGGGTGCCTGTATGACCAGGCCCCGACAGAAACCTGGCAGAAGCCTCACACTCATGTTGCTGCATTTTCGTTGCTGGGGGAAGGGTGGGCTTGTGTGACCCTCAGGGAGGCAGGGAGCATCGGAAGTGGCACCTGGGCTCCTCCAACCTTGCCTGCGACTTCTTCCCCTCTGATGTGGCTGTGTGACCTTACACAGCGACACTCCTCACCCAGCTTACATACCTAACAAACCTGAGCTGGGTGCTGCTTCGTGAGTCCTTCTAGATTTTCAATCCCCAAATGTGGGAAGGGTCTTGGGGACCCCAGACACAAAACCAATAAACCACAGAAGTCATTATTTCTCCCATATGAAAATCCACAATGTGTCACAGAAGCACCATAAACAAAGTCGAAAGACAAACACACTTGAAAAACTAACTGTATTCACATCCCAAACGGCTGCTTATTTATGTGTGTGTGTACACACGTATACATTCTGTGTGTGTGTCTACAGGCACATCCTGTAAATCATAAACAAAGACCAACAACCCACTGGAGACCTGCCTCTGTGCCTGTGGTATTTACAGAGACGCAGAGGACCATACCTTGTAGTTGGCGTGAGTAGCCTTCAGGACGTCATGCAATTTGAGGTACGAAGGAAGGTGATAGAAACTTCCTAGTGACGAGGACTTACTTGTTGTAACAGGCCCTGAGGTATCAGATTGTCTAGAAGCTTGAAAAACATACACACAAAACATAAAGTTTTAGATCAGAAGTAAAACTTTGCCAACTTTAAAATACATGACTGGCAATAATGATTTTTGGAAGTATTTCGGCAGAATAATATTCAGGCCTTTCCTCTGAAACGCTGATTAACTGGAAATAACTGAGAAACCGACTAAGAAACACAAACAGGGTCTGAGTACCAAACAAAAACAGCGAGAGAAGAGAAAAAAGCGACATGCTGTAGCTAGTCTGTGTTTTTTGTTCCATTTGCTCGTCGGCTCGTTAAGGCACCAGCCCGAGAATCAGAGGCACGGCCGACTGAATGACCTTCACCAACCCCGTGACCTCTGCCAACCTGAAGGCCTTCAGTGCAGAATGAGGACAACCCCTGGCCCACGTGCTTGACAGGCTCCTTGTGCGATCCTACAGGGACGGCCTGAGAAAACGTTTTACGAACTGTAACGGGTACAAACATGATCATTAAACCCATATTATTAACTGACAGCAGCAGCACCATACAAACTGTTCTGCTCTTGTGTTTTAAGGATGTCTGACTTGGAGCCGTTAAGTTTATTTAATTCATAAGAAAGATGATCAGTACAGACTGGTAACTTTGCATTTGTAAAGTTCTGAAGCTTTTTAAACTGGTAAATCTCCCTGTTGTACTACAGTCAATTCTCAGAAAACAGCACCTTTTGAAAAGCCTAGAGACGTGAAGACGGAGCCAGGGTGCACCCTGATGTCCCAGAGAATTCCCAGCCTGCAGATCGGAGAAACAGCCATCAGGCTAAAATATGTGTCGGGTTTTAGTATCTGAAACCATACCAGGTGATACCTTTTCTTAGGCTTCCCTACTCTACCTTATTTCCATAAAAACGTCAGTTATCGCGTTCGTTTAAATACGTGGATATTCGTTTAAATACGAAACCTCTGCACTGCAGACGCTGCTCCCTCCCCGTCATGTCTTCTTACCTGGACCAGCTTCTGTGCCCTTCTTTGGGCTCAATGGCGCCGAGGCCTGCTCTCCTGCTTCTTTCTCCTTTCCCTTCCGTCGGATTGGACTTAGAGAAGGGGGGTTGGTCAGAGAAGGCAAGGCTGCCTAAGACAGAACAAGAAACGTGAAAGAAGTACAACCGGCAGAGAAACGGAAAACCACAGGACGTGGTTTTCCCACCTCCTCCCTTTGAATCCATATTTATAAAGCTAAGGTACTGTACATACCTTACACACTTTAACTCACTCCCCAACTGTGCGTGGCAGGTAATGACCCAGAACTTCCTAACAGGTGGGCTAGAAAGGGGTTACGAGCCCCTGGGCCCCCAGGGAGCCCTGCAAGGCCCGAGGCAGCCGGAGCTGCGGGTGCACACCTCTGAGCGCAGGCAGCTAGGGTGTTCTATGTGTGCCATGACACGAAAAACGGTATGAAGCGACGTTTTAAACTCTATCTTACAGACAAGAAAACAGGCTCAGAGACAAACTGACGTATTCAAGGTCACAGCGAATAAGCAGCAGAGGAGGAAGTCACCAAGCCCAGCTGGACCCCAGAACCCACACTCTTGCCAGAACACGATACATGGCAGACTAGAAGGCTCAGGACGTCCAGGCGCCCGAGCTGCAGGAGGCAGCCTGCGTGGTGGGCGGAGTGGGGATGAGACGCAAGAGACACGAATCCCAAGTCCCAGCTCTGTCACCCCCTAACTACGTCACCCCAGGAAAGTCGCTTCATGTATCTCTGAGCTTGGTCTATAAAACAGGAAGAAGCATGGGGATAAATGGCTGCACGGAGGAGAAGGGACTGCAGGGGAGAGCAAGACAGGACAGCGGAGACCAGCTAAGAGCCTACTGCACCTCGAACGCACCACACAAAGCGGAAGGAGTCAATCTCAAAAGACCACCTATTATGCGCCTCCATTTATGTGAAATGTCCAGAATCGGCAAAGCTACAGAGACAGACAGAGGAGCTTAGGGCTAGGGGAATGGGGACATAGGGAAGGGATGGCTAAAGGATGCAGGGTGTCTTTTAGGGTGACCAAAACATGCTAAAGTTGGTTCTGCTGATGGGTGTACAACTCTGTGAATATCCTAAAAACCACGGAATTATACACTTCTAAACCATGGAAATGAATGGTATGTCAACTGTATCTCAATAAAGCTGTTACCAAAATACATACTTAAAAGAAACTTAGTAGTGAGCAGGAGAAAGATGTGGCAGTCTGCTTCTGTAAAGATTACAGCCTTGGAAACCCTGTGGGGCAGTTCTACTCTGTCCTATAGGGTTGCTATGAGTCAGAATTGACTTGACAGCAACAGGTTTGATTTGGTTATAAACTATATGGCGCCTTTGATCACAGTGGGGAGATGGGGACGGTACAGGCCCTGGAAGGAGAAGTTTGCTTTAGACTGCCGAGTCTGAGCCCACGGATCGTCCACACGTGCTTCATGCTGGCAGCTGAGCACACTGGAGTGGAGCTCCAGAGCAGGTGGGTCTCTGACACTTAGGAGAGGTGTGAGGGCCGACTGACTCCCCAGAGCGACACGGTCCCACACGGGGGCTGCTGAAAGCTAAGTGCAAACAACAACGAACACAATGAGAAGTTCAGCGCCCCAGCTGCACTAGGCACGTCAGGTTAGTGACTACTGTCCCGGACGGGGCAGATATGGAATGTTCTCATCGTAGTAGAAAGTTCTACTGGACAGCGCTGGTCCAGAGAGAGAAGAGAAGATGGTTTATAACAGAGCCTAGGACACGCTGAATGGTGAGAAGGGCTAACCCAGGACAGGGACCGGGGACAGCAAGGGGCGGAAGAACAAACAAGAGAATATGGCAGCCAACTGAAAAGAACGTCTCGAGACGGGAGCAGCTGTATGCGATGATGCAGAGGGGGTGAGACTGGAGCTGAAAAGCACCACCAGACCGAGCGGGGAGGCCTCACAGGAAGAGCTGCTATGGAGTGGAGAGAGTAGAAATCAGACTGGCAGGGCTTGAAGAACTGAGTCCAGGCCAGACAAGGCCACACGGGCCTTGTGAAGGCTGGTCTTCAGCTCAGAGCATTGGGAGACATGGCTCTTCTGGAAAGTGTGTAGTGGGGAGGGGGGGAGACCGAATGGGGCTACAGAAGCAGGCAGAGCTAAAGAGAGTTTTTTAAAGATGGAGAAAACTAGAGGTGGGAAACACAGGAGAAAGAATTATCAGACGTAACTGTAAGTTGAGTGGTCTATTTTAAACTCATTGTGCAAACAGTGTAACATCTGCTGTGAAGTTGAGCATACTGACACTGGACTTCACAGAAAAGCAAAACTGTTCAGCCAACAACCTGGGAGACATCAAATGAGATATTTACAGCAGCAACTTCAATTCTGAACTTTCTTGTCTAATGCTGAAAGCCTAAGAATAAAGCTAGGTGAGCTTTATTGTGCTCTGAGAGACACCAGGCATGGAGAGCTAACACAAAAAGGGCTGTGGCATGGATGATCACATTCTGATGTTCGATTTAGTCATGATGTGACCAATTTTGTTCCCTTCAAGCCAAAGAGGATACAGAGGGGGCAGACGACAAAGGGACGTCTGGAAGCCCGCAGAGCTGTGAGGGCTGCGTTAGAGCAGGCCTGAGTGAGAAGTTACCTTTACTGCTGGTCCAGGAGCCACATCGTCCAGGACGTGAGCGCAGATATTGATCACCTTTAGCAGGTGAGAGAAGAGCTGTTCCACCATGGGCACCAGGGTTCGGTCACTGAGAGCTGGCCAGACCTCTTCCTGTTTGGTGGCTGCTGGGTTGGCTTCTTCTTCGGCGGTCCATGAGCTTCTCAGAGATTTGGGAGCACTGGCTGTGATGTGGACAGGTACATACCCTCACCATCTCCGGAGTGTGAAAGGGAAACATCCTTAAGACCCATCTACATTGAGTCTCCTGGACATCTCCACCTGAGGCTCGACCAAAACCTCCAACTCAATGTGAAACTGACATCTCCCCCAAAATCTGTGTTCCTAATCTCCATGGATGTCACCACCATACACCCACCCAAAACACTGACGGTCACCCTAGACCCCTTCTTGATTCTCAGAACTGAAGTTCAGTTGGTGACAAAGCCTGTTGATCGCGCCTCCTTAATGCTCTTTCACTCAATCTCTTCCTCTAAATTCCAAAGCCATTACAGGTAGTCCCGATTTACAACATATGCAAGATACGGCTATGAACCACACTTCCACGATCGTCATTTTTTTTTTTTAACCTTACTGTTAGTAAAATGTACTACATACAATGTTGCGGCATGTAATTTGCTGATGTTATCATCGTCAGATGTTCACTCACAGATGTTCAAAGATCAAAAAAGAGGTATTCGACTTACGTCAGAACCGACTCAGGATGGAGGGATCAGAACGGAGCACCGCTGGAAGTCGGGGACTACCTGTGTCTCACTTTGGACCCTCTCTTACCTTAACTAGGACACGAATCTCCTGACTGAGTTTCCTTATTTTCTCCTCCAACCCACGTTCAAGTCAGCTGAGTGATCTTTAAAAGGACTAATTCAACTTTCCAGAAACCCGTCAATGGCCTCTGAACAGAACGAGCCCAGACTCCTTAATGAAGACAGACAAGACCTCCACACACAATTTCAGTGGAGCTTGTCTCCTCATCGGCCAGTCTCCAACCTAGCCCCGGTCCCACATGACATCCCAAACTACCACCGTGCCCTAAATGTTCCACAAATTTTCACGTCCCCATGCCTCTGCATGCGCTGTGCCCTCTGTCGGGAGTGCCCTTTCCTGCCAACCCCCAAATCTCATGTGCTGTCCTGATCCCCAAGGAGAGCTGACTGTGGCCATACTGTGCCGCCACCGTACTGAATATCTCTCATCCGACTTTTGTTCCCATGTATCCCCCACTCATCTATAATCGACGTAAGAAAGGGGCCCATGTTACACTTTCTTACAGTCCCAGGGCCTGTACCTGGCATGTGGTGCCCACTCCCAGTCAACTTAGAACTGAGTCTGAGCAGAGCTGACTGAAGAGCTAGACCGGGGAAAGGCAGAGTAGAACGGCTGCCAGTGCTATGCATTTATGCATACAGGTAGGGTCCCTAAGCGGCACAAGTGGTTAAGTGCTCGACTACTAGCCAAAAGGTTGCCAGTTCAAACCTAGCCAGAGGCTCCTCAGGAGACAGGCCTGACGATCTGCTTCCAAAAGGTCACAGTCTTGAAAACCCAATGGAGCAGTTCTCTACCCACATGGGGTCACCACGAGTCAGAATCAACGCGACGGCAACTAACAGCAACGCATACAGCTGGCATCTGAAAATCACACTAGAGGAACAAACCACCATCGGCAATGACTGGGAAATATTTTTCCTTCATACATTCACCACTCCGATCCCCCATGAGATAATAAAAAACAAAGACCCTGGAGTCCGTTTCCACTCAGTACCCGTACCTGCAAGCAAGTTCCCAGCTAAAGTCAGGGCATCCTGGTGGGCGGAAAGATCCAAGGGGAACCAGGCTGAGGAGAGCAGGGTGAGGACCATCGTGGCCATCCCCACGGTACAGCTTTTCCTGGACTCGTCTGAGGCACTCAGCGGGGGGACTCTGGAAGCAGACGCGTTACAAGGTCACGTTACAGAATGTCTCAAGCAAACACCCGTTTTCTCTTCTGAACCGAAAAGGAAGGTATGCCACTCTCCATTTTATACCAGCACTGTATATTTTATACCATCAACTGTACTATTGGTAACAAACATCTTTTCCGTAAATCATAACTCAGTAAAAATTATTTGAGAAATGAGATCAGATAGCAGATCTGATTAAAAATACTGGAACTATTGTTTGTTTTGATGGATTTTTAACTTTCTTTCAATTTTGATTTAGCACATTTAATCCAGTGCCGAAGTTGCTTACAAGGGCAAGTCTAACGCTGGACCTATGATGGGAAAATCAGTCGCTCAGTAACTGTCGTGAAAGAAGGAAAGCAGCATTCAGGACCAGAGAATGCAATCCACTTCAAATAAGTGTTAATCAGCTGTACGCTGACACGCCCAAGAAATCTGTAGATTTACTGCCAAATGTGACGGTGATTCACCGAAACTTTTCTCCGTAATCAGGATGCATCATGAAAGCTTACTCCTTAATGCTGCAGAAGACCCAAAACTACTTCACGGCTGCCCCAAGGGCCATCTCCTGGAGGAAAATCATCTGTAAATGGGAAATGCTAAGACGGGTACAACAGCCCCTAAGCTACACTCACAGTTCCCCCAGACTTTTGCACACTAGGTCACGTTTGATTTCAAGCAAAAAACAGTTCTCAATTTTTCATATACACTGGGTAATTTAGGAGAGAACCATGCCAGCTAGAAAAGTCATTTGCCAGCACGTGTGAACGTCCTTAAGGGAACCTGCAGATCACACCCTCAAAGCCCTAAAAGTGTTCAAGGGTGAACACTGGACCTTCATGAGAATTACAGCAGCATCCCCTCAAGAGTTCACAGCACTGGTTTCCACACAACTAAAACGGGAGAAGCAAGTATTTGCTCAGGCATTTTTCCAAAAGGCCAGGGGGATAAAAGACTCAACGAGAAAGAAAACAGGGATCCCGGTAACGGTGTCTGTGTGGCGTCATTGCAGACCGAGGGGAGATACATACCCGCAATGCCAACCCAAACTCCAAACGCAGACTGGAAAGGCAGTTGATAGAAGACACAAAGCTTCACAGCATCCAAACTAAAGAAGAAAGGGACAATCAAACCTCACCCAACCATCAAAGAGGTTATTGAATCCAACTGCCTTTCACCTTTATAAAAAGTACAAAGGATGAAAAAAAAAACTTAGACCTGTGAATGGTTCACCCTTAGGACATCATCCCAACACGGTAGAATTTCACACCTTAGCAGCACAACCGCGTAACTGAAACATGCTTAACGACAGGCCAACCAGCCTGCCGAGGAGATGCCAGCAGGGCTGCGGTCCTTCTGTCTGGAGTCGGACTGTCCTTCTGCTCAGGGTCCGCTCCCTGCCTGAATCCAGGAAGCAGAGGGCAGGCATCCTGTTGGTTTCTGCATCCCAAGCCCAGAGGGTCCCAGCACACACAAGCACACAATAAGTAACTGCTGAACAAATCAGACAGCCCAAACAATGTCTCCGTCCTTACCAAGCCGTGGCCTGAAGGCCAAAGTCTGCATTTTCTACAACATGAAGTTCTTCTGTCACATAAGTTTACAATAAAGGATTAACCTGCAAATCAGTAAATTACCACTACTTTGTATAACACTGTGTTTTCTGATTATAAAAGTAATATTTGTTCATTTTAGAAAATTTGTGACTATCTGAAAAATATAAACAAGAAAACAAAAACTCATCCACAGTCCTAATATTCATTTTGGCAAATTCTGCCAGTCATTTTTCTGAGTATGTGAGGAATGAATACATGTGAATATTATTTTTCATTACTGAAATCCTAATATGCAAATTATTAAATATATTAAATATAAATACATTAAATTGAATGTACATGTATTAAATAGATAGATTTTAAATTCTCTGAGACATCATATTAACAGATGATAAATACTGTTGTTGTTGCTGTTAGGTGCCAGCAAGTTGACTCCGACCCACAGCGACCCCGTGCACAACAGAACGAAACCCTGCCTGGTCCTGCACCATCCTCACAATCCTTGCTATGTTTGAGCCCATTGTTGCAGCCACTGTGTCAGTCCATCTCGTTGAGGGTCTTCCTCTTTTCCACTGACCCTCTACTTTACTAAGCATGATGTGCTTCTCCAGGAACTGGTCCCTCCTGACAACATGGCCAAAGTATGTGAGGCGAAGTCTTGCCATCTTCACTTCTAAGCAGTGTTCTGGCTGTACTTCTTCCAAGACACATTCGTTCCTTCTTCTGGCAGTCCATGGTATATTCAATATTCTTAGCCAACACCATATTTCACAGGCATCAATTCTTCTTCGGTCTTCCTTATTTACTGTCCAACTTTCGCATGGAAATGAAGCGATTGAAAAGACCATGGCTTGGGTCAGGTGCACCTTAGTCTTCAAGGTGACATCTTTGCTTTTGAACACTCTAAAGAGGTCTTTTGCAACAGATTTGTGCAATGTAACACATCATTTGATTTCCTAACTGCTGCTTCCATGGACATTAATTGTGGATCCAAGCAAGACGAAATCCTTGACAAATACTACACAGGTAAAAAATTTAATCATTCTTACGTTCTTGGACATTATGGTTCTTTTCCAGTTTTCAGCATCAAAAATAATGATACAGATAAGTACGTTATACAAAAACCTCTGCTAGCATTTCTGATTTTTTCCCTTGGTATATATTACGAGGTCACTGAGTCAATTATATTAGAGGTATTGTAAACTTTTGACATATTACCAAATGCATGATAGTACTTGATCTTGCACACAGCTACAGTGCCAACCTGTGTGCTGTGGTGGTACAACACGTGGTTTTTAGCAGACTCTGGAGCCAAATGCTCCGTGTGAATTCCAACTATGCCACTTACCAGCTGTGTGAACCTGCAGAGTGTACTTCACCTCTGTGCGTCTCACTGTCCCCGTCAGTAAAATGGGACGGTAATACCCCCACTATAGGGCTGTATAAGACTTCAAAGAGCTACTGTGTGAAAAGTGCTCACAGACGTGCCTGGCATGTAGGAGGCCCCATACGTCACCTAGCATTAATCTGGAAAGACTGCACCAATTTATACAACCACCAGCCTATGAGTCAGCTCACTGTCCCTTTACCCATAGAGAACTGCACAGTTTTAAATATTTTACAGGAGCCCTGGTGGTGCAACAGTTAAGCACTCAGCTGCTAATCGAAAGGGTGGCAGTTCAAACTCACTCAGTGGCTCTGAGGGAGGACTGGCAATCTACTCCCATGAAGATTACAGCCAAGAAACCCCTATGGGCACTTGTACTGTCACAGGGGGTCACTGTGAGTCAGGATCGACTTGACAGCACCCAACAACAGGAACAACCTGTTTTCTAAGTGTTTCAGTCATGAACTAACCACCCCATCACAAGTCAGTAGCTTCCATGTGCCAAACACCACACTGAGCGTTCCCCACACATTAGCTAGGTTCGTCCTTGTAACAACCCTGGGGATATTCCTAGTCTCGAAGCAGCTGAGACAGATGAAATAGTTTCATCAAAAAGTCTCACAAAATTAAGATTGTGGTGATGGTTGCACAGTCTTGTCAAAACAGTGAAAAAACACTGAATTATAAATTGTAAATGAGTGAATTGTCCAGTATGTGAGTTATATCTCAATAAAGCTGTTGATAAAACACAAAAATCTCACAACCAGGTAAGTGGTACAGTCAGGAGATTTATTGTATATTACATTAAAAAAAAAAAAAAAAACTCGTTGCCCTCAAGGCGGTTCCGACTCATTGTGACTCTACAGGACAGAGTAGAACTACCCCATAAGATTTGCAAGCAACGGCTGGTGGATTTGAACTGCTGATCTTCTGGTTAGCAGCTGAGCTTGTAACCACTAGGACCTTTAATTTTTCAAGACCCTTCATTGGTTTGTTTGAATCATATGAAATTGGCAAGATTTGACCATTCTTGACCCGTAAAAATGGCAATCTCACGTGGTTCAACCTAATTATTCTCATTTAACCTTTTTAGCAGCTCTGTGACGTCTCCTGGGCTTAAGGAAATCAACTCCGCCCCCAGAAGTCTGCCTCGCAGAAGCAGAAACAAGACATGGCAGCAGGACCTCATTTCCCCAGCACAGGCTTAGTGGGCTCTGAACCGTGATCCAAGGCCCACAGAGAAGATTCAAACACACAGGATACAAACTAAGATCCAGTCCCAGAAGGCCCAGCCAACAGTCTGCTTCCCAGTTCAACAGTCCGTCTGTGTCTCGGTGCTGAGAATGTTCGCCATCATCCAACAGGAAGATTTAAACCGCTAATCCGAATCCTGGTCTACTACTCTAAACTCACTGGTTCCCCAGTGAAGTAAGGAATGGGAAGAACGCAAACAATACAGTATTGTAAATTCAGGAGCCTTCTGGAATTCCCATTCTTTGCAATGTGATCCATAATTTATTATGATCCACACAGCCGAATGCCTTTGAATGATCAATAAAACACAGGTGAACATCTTTCTGGCATTCTCTGCTTTCAGTCAGGAGCCATCTGACATCAGCAATGAAGCAGTTACACCAAAAAAGGGAACACCACATATTTCAGTTCATAAGATTATGGTAGCTTTTATTCTCATATTTACGTCTTCTGTACTGGCTGATTTTCTTTTCTTTTTCTTTACAATGAGCGTGTATTACTTTAATAACCAGGAAAAAAACAGTTCTTTACATGCCTACTGGAATAAACTAAGATTCTGTTCACCAAGGCACAATTCCTTAGGAAGAGTTCTCATGCAAGCATCGTACCATGAAGAACTGACCATATAAACCACTGAGAATGAACTTCGTGAAGACCAACCCGAAAAGACTCACCGTGAGCGCTCGTGTGGTCGACGTGATCAGTTCGTGGGAAACCGCAGCAATAACCCTCGAAAGGTTGTTTTCCAGAGTGACATCTGTGATGCTTGGTACTAAGTTATAGCCTCTATATACCCTAGCAAGGAAAACATGGAGACTTAAGACACTATTAAAGTTTACGATATTTTTAAAGCACAAATGGCAGTTAGGAGTTTAAAATTAGAGGCTAAGAGGAGTCAAAGCAGTCTTGACAGTTAAGTTAGAGGGAGACTGGAAATATATTTGGTCATTATTCTGTGAAAATGGCCGAACTAATTCTCCCCTCCCTGCCTCCACTCCGCCTGAACCCCTTCATGCAACACTGGGCACGGCCCGCCTGCTCCGTTCGCCGGTGTTCTCTGCACATCAGAAGCCACCTGTCTGTCAGGAGTCCAGTTAAAGCAGACAAAAGCAGCCCCCGTCTCCATGACTGGACACCCACAGCACTGTCTCTGCACTCCATTCACGGCCCGTGTCAACTCCTATCCCCCGTCACAGTTACGGACAAATTCTAACTCCCCCGCTGTTTAAGCAAAGTCCAAACAGGACGCGTGCTTGACTGCCTTTTGTATCCCTCACAGTGCTTTGCCAGCTGGAGGCTCTCACGACTAAAGCTAGGAGAACATTATATCATCTTCACGGATGGATTCCGACAGAGCAGGGAGCTAGGTGCAGACACAGCTGCACACCTGGGAATTCTGTTCATCTGGCCACAGCCACACAGACAGGCCGTGTGTCAGGAGGCCAGGTGACGCTGTAACTGGGAAAGTTTTCCAAGTAGTCGCTGGTAAACAATTCCAATTAAATAGTGTATTCATCTCTGTTGGTATCCAAGTACTCACTTTCTAAAATGACATTTAGAAAACAGCAATTCACTCTAAGTCTGTCAAATTCCTGATGATAAAATACTCTTACGCTGCTTCTACTTATCTTAAAGGAATATTTATCCTGAATCTTTTCAAAGAGAGACAATGCCAATTATGAGGTTGAACAAGAACATTCTCTGAGAAGAAAATAGTAAAGTGGCCAAGAAATTATTTCTTGTTATGTATGAAGGTTGCTTTTTTTTTTTTCCCCTCAGCAGTGTTTACATTAAAAAAGGCTGATATTCATTTAGGAACAATGACTTCAAAATTTGACAAGCTGAGTTCTAAATTCAGGGAAAAAAAGGACCAAGTGATCCTTTAAACACAGAAGCTATTTAGTCCCAGTTTTTAAAAACTGCCACTCAGTAGACAGGACTCTCACATAAAACCAGAGTGTTAACAGCACTTCCAGGGCAGAGGGCTAACGAGGCGTTGTCCTGTTAGCATTTCTGCAGCCTTCTCTGTAAACAAATCCTGGAGAGAAACTATAGCTTCGCTAGACTGTCTCTGCTCGGATCACCTTTATAGTCTATGCTGCTCAGCCGAGAGTCCCAGAGAACGGAATACGACAGCCACCTGACACTGATTCCAAAGGCTCTTCACAACCAAGGTCAATAATAATATTTGCAGATGACTGGACCCTGACGGGCACCTGACTGTTCGCGGGCATGACAGACTACCGTGCTTTGCACAGGCAACACAAAACCTGCTGTCACCGAGTCGATTCCGACTTACAGCGACCCTGTAGGACACAACAGAGCTGTCCCATAGGCTTTCCAAGGCTGTAATGTTTACAGAAGCAGACTGCCAGGTCTTTCTCCCGCTGAATGGCTGGGGAGTTCAAACCACCAACCTTTTGGTTAGCAGCCGAGCACTTTAACCACAGGTAGACAGAAAAACTTAAATGGACAAGCTTTCAGATAAGACAGCATAACTGTTGTGCACAAAAACACAGCTGTCCACTGTGGACTGCGATGAACTAATTACAAGAGCTGTGATATCACTGTTGTGTGACTGAGGCAGTGCTGAAAACACAGGCGGTAAATCCTGAAAAAGACAAGTCTCTTCTCCAGGGAAGACTGCCTACGCAGACACCCTGCCCAAAAGCTTCCCCCTGGAAAACGCACAGTTCTAGAGTAAAGCCCTAAAGGAAGGCACTGAGAGAGGGTGGCGTGTACCTGGTTATGGTGCTGACGGAGAAGTGAGACGGAGGCTGCGTCTCATGCATCAGGAGCTTCAGGTACACGCTGCTCTGATCTCTCGCCACAGCCACCACTGGATCCGCCTGTCCTTGGTCACACTTATAGAACAGCTTTGGGACAAGCCTAACACACAAGTCAGGAAAGCCCATGCAGTTCACCTGCGTTTCAGCCCCTGCCCCCCAGGTATGGACGTCTACAAACAGAAAAGCTCTTCTTCCTTCTCAGCGGAGCAGGTAATTGCCACTGTCTTCCTAGTGCTCGTTTACACGGCCCAAAATCCCCACAAGGGGCCACTTAACAATGAGAGGCTAGTATTTTGTTGTTTTAATTATCATTGCTTTAGGCTTCTATGCTAGTGGATTTCTTTGATAGTTTAAGTGTAGGATGGCTGAAAATGAGCTAGAAAGATCTAGGCATATGCCCTATATCCTATTAGCTCTTCCCTCTCTTCCCACTCTCCCGCCATTTAGTACTTCCACCCAAAAAGTGAAGAGAGAGAGCAACACTCGGTAAATACCTCATCAGTGATGCTGCGGCAACATGCCGCACCCTGGGGTCTTCATCTCCCAGCAAATAGATGGCAACGTCGTTCAGCACTCGTTCTTGCAGTTTTAAAAGCTTTAAAGGAGAAAGAAACAAAAACAGATGTGACCTCTCTATTCGAATAAATTCTCGACATTTTGAAAAGCCAGCGAGGCTCGACCCACGGTGACTGGTCTTACATTCACACCAGGCAACCACAGCTTTCGTGATACCCACAGGTAGCTCAGGAACATGAAAGTCTCATCACAAAGACAGATCACTTACCCCTGTGTAATGATGAGCCCCTCTGTGTAAGTTTTCTGCTTTTGCCTCCAAGAAGCTCACCAACCTAACGAAAAGCATATTTCACTATGAAGTCGTCCAGTTACTCAACAGGCCCCGACTGAGGGCCTCACAAGACCCTGACAGATGTGACAATGAAACATGTGCTCCCAGTAAGTCAGCCCAAGCCCACGGAAGGCTCTGAGGCTGCGCTTATTTGGACAACAGGAAGACTGACTTCTTAAATTAGAAGAATTTACACTCCCTTCAGAATTCCAGACTCAGGAAGATATTACTCAGTAAATTGGTTTTTCTTGAAAACCCATACAAACATCTATTATTTTTAAATATTCGAAATGCCCTGCAGAATTGGGGCAAACATACACCACAGAAGTGGCGAGACTCTGGAGTAGACCCCAGGCTCATCCCAGCTTCCCACTGACTGGCTGCCTGGCCTTGGGCAAGTTACCTCCCTCCCAGGCTTCACTTCCTCATCTGTGAAATGGGTGTAAGAACAAGACCTAACTAATGGGAGACATTCTCAAGATTAAATAAAATTCCCAAGTAGGACACTCATACAGTGCCTGGCACATAACAAACACTCTATAAACAGGGGCTTAAAAAAAAAAGAAAAGAAAACCTGGATAATAAAGGTAAAATTTCCCTTCCAAATTGGCATGACACAGCTTATGAAGACAATGCGCTACATTCTACCTTGGTGAGTAGTGTCTGGGGTCTTAAAAGCCTGTAAGCGGCCATCTAAGATACTCCACTGGTCTCATCCCTTCGGGAGCAAGGGAGAATGAAGAGAACAGGATACAAGGAAAAGATTAGTCCAAAGGACTAATTGTCCACAGCTACCAAGGCCTCCACCAGACTGAGTCCAGTACAGCTAGATGGTGCCTGCCTACGACCACTGACTGCTCTGACCAAGATCACAACAGAGGGTTCTGGACAGAGCTGGAGAAGGATGTAGAGCATAATTCTAACTCACAAAAATAAAGACCAGATTTACTGGCCTAAAGGAGACTGGAGAAACCTCGAGACTATGGCCCCCAGACACCCTTTTAGCTCAGTGGTGAAGTTACCTCCGAGGTTCACTGTTCAGCCTGGGAGTAGACAGCCGCATAAAACCAAATGAGACTAACGAGGTACAGGAGTCCAGTGACAAGGGCCAGAAGGCAGAAGGGGACAAGGAAGCTGGTGATAGGGAACCCAAGGTTGAGTAAGGATATTGTTGATGTGTTGTGAGATTGTTAACCATTGTCATAGGGCAACATTTGTAGTAACTTTTAAATGAGAAACTATTTTGTTCTGTAAGCCTTCATCTTAAGTGAGAATAACAGCACAATTGGAAGAGCGTAGTCAATGTCACTGAACTGTGTATGTAGAAATTTTTGAAACAGTGAATCTTCGGCTATGTGTATTTTCACCATAAAAAAAAAAAGGTTGAGAAGTTAGAGGGTTGATATGTTGTGGGGTTGTTAACCAGTGTCATAAAACAACATGTATACTTCTGTTTCATGAGAAACTATTTGTTCTGTAAGCCTTCACCTGAAGTACAATAAAATATAAAAGAAAAAAACAATTTCCCTTCTAAAAGACAGCATTGAAAGGAAACATCTCCAACTAAAACTTACTCTTGGAGAATGAAAGCTGCAACACATCAAAAGCTATTTTAACGGCAACAAAATACACATCAGCTCCTTACCCAAGCTCTGTACAATGGTAAGTACGTTCTTTTCTAAGCGAATTGGTATGAGTCACAAAGTTTTAAAAGCTTAAGACAAAGGTGAAAAAATCCAGAGCCCTTTCGTCTTTCCCATCATTCAGAGCACTTTAATGACTGAGAATAAAAGAAAAATCCACCCCACACCTACATTTTAAAATCCTAAGTATAGGACAAAGTTCGGCCAACAGCCGCTGGGCAGAGGAAAGCTACTGCTGGCGATCTAGACCACTCAGAGCTCTAGAGGACAGTGACTTGATAACCAGCACCACATCCCCAACCCCAGGGCTTTCAACGACTGGCTCAAACTTCTGAGACGCTTTCGTTCATGAAATTCAATGATTTAGGTTCACTCACCTGAAGTCAATCTCTGCAAGGGTTTCCAAAAGCTCCGTCCTCACCAGCCAGTAGGAGCTGCTCCTCAGGGCAAGCACATCGATGATCAGCTGCAGCCCCAGGTCACTGTAGCTGCTGCCGCACAGGCTCGTGACGCAGTGCTGCAACGTCCCGTGGGACAGCATCAGTTACCTGCACTCCACGGCCGCATCGTGACAGTTTCTGCCGTCACTCGCAGACACACACGGTTTGTGCGTACGTGGGGTTTTTAAACCGAAACACTGCTCCACGTCTCAGAAATATTTATTGTATATATTTTATCTCAGCAAACACAAGTTTAGAAGCAAATGTTTCTCTTTCACACAACTTTCTTTCTTCCTCCTACTTCTGCCTGTGTCTTGTCCCCAAGCCCAAAGGGCAATTTCAGGGACATTTATCAGTGCTAAAGAGGGAGCTCACGCAACACAAAGCAACCAGCGCTGCTAAGACAACTGAAGACCCAGCTCCAGGACAAGGGACCAGCGGACTTTGGGGAGACACACAGGATGCCCACTGGGTGTCACCGGCACCTCCAGAGCCTTCGCTGCACGGGGACCAGCCCAGGGCTCCAGGGCTGTTCTCCCTCCTCCTTCCCTCCCGGCCCACGCCGGGGTCATCACGCACGCTTGGCGCACGCAGACTGCCGGCAGCAACGTAACTGTGCTGCCAACTTGCTCCCTTCTGCTCAGAGGAAGCACAGCTGACTGACCTTGGCAAACACTTGGAACAAGGGAAATATTCCTGCCAGACCACGGAATGTTAGAAAGGGGAAGTGTCCTGTAAATTTAAAGTCATAGGGTTTTTGGGTTTTGTTTTTTCAGGTAGACATCTACTGTTGTTGACTGGCCACTTGTGACCTATGAAGCAGCTGATGTATAAAGGTTCCGCATTCTATCACCTCCACCTGGGGCAGCTCAGCTCATCCACTAAAAATAAAGGTTGGATTACATCATCTCTAAGGCTCACCTGAAGTCTTAACATTCTATGGCCTAATGGTATTTTTTTTTTAAAAGAGATTCTACATTTAATGCTTATGAAGTGTATTTCCAAATATTCCCTTTTTTAAAAAGGTACTATATGTCAAACAGGAACCCTGGTGGTGTAGTAGTTAAGCGCTCAGCTGCTAACCAAAAGGTCAGCAGTTTGAATCCACCAGCTGCTCTTTGGAAACCCTATGGGGCAGCTCTGCTCTGTCCTATAGGGTTGCTAGGAGTTGGAATCGACTCATCAGCAATGGGTTTGGTTTTGGTTGTATATCAAACAAATATTCTGAGAATTAAAACTTAAACTTAAATCTATTGCAATTTAACTTGATTTGCAATGTTTTTCTTTCTTAAGCTGAATGGTGAATACATTATTATTGTTTAGAGCTTTAGAATGTCTAGAAATCTTTTCTATTAAGCTCTAATTTTAATAACAACAGCAAAACTTCTAATCAAAGAAATGACTTCCACAAAAGATGCTCACCCGCACAGCTGAGCAAGCCAACTTGCAAGTAACGGAAGACTCGTCTTTCAAGGTTTTCTGCAGCAAAGGAATGCAGTCCGCCAGAGAAAACGTATTTCCTGACCAGAGGAACAAGCAAGAAACACCTTCATTTAGACACGGCCTTGGGAATGACATCCAGAGAAGGCACCAGTGCACACATCGCTGTTACCTGTCAGGCTTCGCAGGGCGCCCAGCCAGTCGCCCACGTGGAAGCGGGCTCGGCTGAGGATGGAGTAGACAAGGGTCCCACAGAGGATGGCAGTGGCCCCTCGGACCTGCGGGTCTCCATGATCGATGTAGTTCAAGATGTCCGAGACATACTGCTCCTCTGGGGAGACAAAGCGCCCAGACATGGTACAGCTCCCACCACCCGCGTTCTAACTCAGAGTACAGACTTAATCCTCAGGAAAGAAGAAAAGGGTGGGAAGGACCAGCCAAACCTAGAAGTGACTCGACCATAATCATGCTCAGTAGTAAAAACGTTTGGGGGTTTAAGGATTTCTAGATTCATCAGACCCCTGGTACCAGCTCAACACAAGTGACTGTCTGGATTATGATTCCAAATTGTCAGATTAAATTCCAGAATTTAAAAAACAGATTAGAAAAACTCAAACTACACATTATCCTATGTATTCAACGACACAGATTTGTCCCCAAGCCCAAAAACAGAGAAAGAGAAGGCTGGTCCCCAAATGTGTGCATGATGGGAGATGTAAAACAGCTGCTGCCTCAGCCCCACCCACCTGTGAGTAAACACCTGTCTGTGAGTGAACACCTGGCCTGTGAGTAAACACCTGTCTGTGAGTGAACATCTGCCTGTGAGTGAACACCTGGCCTGTGAGTGTGAACACCTGCCTGTGAGTGTGAACACCTGCCTGTGAGTGAACACCTGGCCTGAGTGTGAACACCTGCCTGTGAGTGTGAACACACCTGTGAGTGAACGCCTGGCCTGTGAATGTGAACACCTGCCTGTGAGTGAACACCTGGCCTGTGAGTATGAACGCCTGGCCTGTGAGTATGAACACCTGCCTGTGAGTGAACACCTGGCCTGAGTGTGAACACCTGGCCTGTGAGTGTGACCGCCTGGCCTGTGAGTGTGACCGCCTGGCCTGTGAGTGTGAACGCCTGGCCTGTGAGTGTGAACACCTGCCTGTGAGTGTGAACACCTGGCCTGTGAGTGTGAACACCTGGCCTGTGAGCGTGGCACACCTGCCCTGTGAGCGTGGCACACCTGCCCTGTGAGTCAGAGTGGAGGCAATTTGGACTAGACACAACTTGTGCTTCAAGTACAAACTCAGTGTGCACGTATGTCCCAGACTTCTACCTCGGCTGTGCGTGTCAGCTACAGCACTGCATCTAACAACCTAAGCAGCATCATGCACATGTTTTGGGAGACACACCAACGTCTAAATAGCATGGATTAACTAAACACTGTCCTAAAACGAAAAAGTCAAGACTCTTGGTAGTCGTTTTCAAAATAGTCACTGACCATGAGGAATAAGATGTGAACATTCAACATACCGGGATATTCCGTGGCATCGAGAGGTACTTTGTAAAGTTTGCTGAAGAAGGACTCAGGATGAAGGGCCACCGCTGCACTGACACAGCTGACCGCCAGCGCCTTCACGCTCACCCTCACATCCCGATCTGGAACCAGTGCTGCAGGGAAAAACCGGGGTCACGCGCCTCAAAGCTGCAAACAAGCCACCTTAAGGAAACAAAACTAGACCCACTAAGTCAATTGTGCCCATCATCTCCTTCTCCCAGCAGGCGGTGGGAACCAAAGTCCACTCTCAAACTCACTCCCTCTGTTGCACTAAGGAGGTCAAACCTGGCCAGCAAGTTGACCTCTGGGGCCTAGTTACTCTCTTCATCTCTGCGCCTCTCCCTCTATACTCACCATTTTTCTCCCCAGTTAGCAGAAACGAAGCTGATAAAAGGCGGACACAGTGGACAAGAGGAGCAGCATCATCATCAGTAGACTGTCCTACGTCACCTTTGACTCTGCAAGGCTAGAACAGAGAACACTGGCGTTTTGTTTGTCTTATAATTGAAGGACCAGTACGTTCATCCATCACTCACTCAACAAACAGTTCCAGAGCAGCGACTACGCTAGGCACTAGGGATCCACAGGTGCGTATCCTTCCTCACGGAGGTCACAGACGCACGAAAGCCGACACGTTACAAGGTACTAGTGACACGTGTGCTGTGACAGGGGTGCGCTTGGTGTGCAGGGAGGGCACCCTGCAAGGAAGGCAGGTGAGACGAGGGAAAGCTGCCCAGACAGTAAACGTGAATGGCTACTCCGGAGGGAAAGAGCCTGGGGAAAGCCCAAAGGTGAGAGGGAGTAAGGCCGGTGTGACAGGAGCTGCGAGGAGCTGCTAAAGGCTGCAATACTGACCGAGCATCTACGAAGGATCTAACCATGAAACACTATTGCTTGCCCTTGAGGAATTTAAAATCAAATGGAAAACAGGAAACTTGCATGTGAAAAAGTAAACAATATAAAGAGCCAGTTTTTAAACCACTCCAAACCCTGCACACCAATGCTTGTGGCAGCACTTTTCACAACAGCCAGAAGGTGGGAACAACCAAAATGCCATCAGCAGAGGATGGACAAACAAAACACGGGATACACAATGGAAAACTACTCGGCCACGAAGAGGAAGAAGTCCCAATGCCGGCACACAGCAACCATGAAAGCAGTACGCTGAGCTTCCAAACCCACTGCCAACAAGTCGATTCCAACTCCTAGCGACCCTGCAGGACAGCGGAGAACTGCCCCAAGGCTGTAATCTTTACGGAAGCAAACTGCCACATCTTTCTCCTGCAGAGCAGCTGGTGGGTTCAAACTGCCGCCGACCTTTTGGTTAGCAGCTGAGAGCTTTAACTACTGCACCACCAGGACTCCATGTTGAGCTTAGTCAGTTGCAAAGACAAATACTGTATGATCTCACTTACATGAAATAAGCAAATATCACTAGTGGTTACCAGGGGTAGGAGGAAGGGGGAAAGGGGGAGTTTTTGCTTAGGGGGCAGTGAGTTTATGTTAATGGTGGTGGAGTAATTTGGAAAAGGAGAGTGAGAATTGTTGCACAGCTGAAGAATGTAATCAATGTCACTGAATTCTACAGGTAGAAATTAAGGAAAGAAAACCCATGAATCACAAGGTTCAATTCGAAAGCGATCACGGAGGTGGTGCAAACCGGCAGTGTTCCGTTCCGCCGTGCAGAGTCACCCGCGGGTCGGGGGCCAAGCTGATGGCAGCTAACAACAACCCACCAAAACCCGGGCGCGGCGCAGGGCCAGGGAGGATCATCACACGAGTGGTTCACGAAGTCAAAGCTCAGCGGGCATCTAGCAAGGGAGCAATCAGTACGGGATAGATCCGTCTGGAAGGCTCCTCAAAGGAGGAAAACCTGAAGCCGTTTCCGGCCTCTGGAGCAGCACAGACGAAGAGCAGGCCAGGAAGCGGGTCAGAACGTCACGGGGAAAGAGCTGAGCAGAAGCCCACTGCTAGGAAAGCAACAGACTCGGTAGAGACACAGTAGCCAGACCCCAAAGAAACACTGCTGTCGAGTCGATTCTGACTCACAGCGACCCTATGGGACAGAGCAGAACTAACTGCCCATAGGGTTTCCAAGGAGCAGTGGTGGATTCGAACTGCTGACCTTCTGGTTAGCAGCCGAACGCTTAACCACTTCACCACCAGGGCTCCGGTTTAAGACCTCACACGTGGTCAGAAACGACCTCGCGGGCTCACCTTGCTTTCCTGATCACCTGGCTCAGCACCTTCCTCTCTTGATGTGAATTTATCCACACTGCTGTCAGAAGACTGCCTGCTGTACCCCATGTTCGTCAGTAAATGCGCTTGCTGAAGGGCTTCAAAGACAGAGAATCCAGCTTAAGTCACAAGTCGGCATAACCAGTGCTTCCAGTTAAAACACAAACACCCTCACCGACGCGAAGCTAACACAAAGTACAGAGTGTAGATCCAGGAAAAGCAGTTACTCCCCAGCTGTGATACACACTGAGAAGACAAAGACGCGGAAACATTTCCTCCTGGAGTGAGGACAAACGGAACAGCCAGGGCTGAAACGAGCACGCACCGACAGGAGAGCTTCTGAAGGCATCTGTGGCCTCGTCGGGAAGAGCGGCGGCTGCGTCCTCGTCGTCGTCCTGCAGCTGTCCAGTCTGCATTCCCAAGTACTGGCTGTCCGCGCCATCTAACACCTAGACAGGCAAGGGGGCTGTGAGGACCCCACTCAGACCCCCCAAATGGAGGCACAAGGGTCAAAGCCACAAACACCAGCACTGAAAAGATCACTTGTCAGAAGCACACGGATGCATGTGTGTAAATTCTCAAGATCTCATTAATCATACATTACTAGCACGTTATGAAAAGCTTTGTAGCTCTTAAAAATTCCAAAGAAATTCATATCTGGAAATTTCTCTTTGTCATATCATAAAAAAATCCAAACACAAATCTTTGTCTTTACATAAAAGTAAAATTTGACAAGTTAGAAGTGAGAAAAAAAGCTTCTAGACAAAAACCTAATAATGTAACAGGTTAGCCCCTAAACTGCTAGGTCTGAATCCACTAATTTTGGGGCATGGTGTTTCAGATATTCGGCCATAAGCTTAGGCTATGATTCCATATTGCAAATTTCTTCACATACACTTGAAATTCCCTATGTAGTTTACTGAAAAATAAACCGAGCAGTGGACTCTGAAACCACTAATAAATGATAGAAATAACACCTATTTTCTGTATCATCTTAAAAAAATCTTTCCAGGTTCCTCTCCAATTAAAAAAAAAAAAAAATCAAGCGACATGGGCAAATACAAGCAATGATTTCCACCCCGAGATTAGTTTACAAGGTAGCACAGCTCAGCCGGTCAACAGGTTAAAACAGGGCGTTCCATCCCAACAGTAATCCACATTCATGGAATACCTTGCCGTGCGCCAGGCAGGACCCTATGTGCTGAGCGGGCATTATCTCCTTTACCCTGCACAACAGCCTTAGGCCACATGTGCCGTAATCACCCCATCTTCTGGATCAGAACACTGAGGCGTGAGGTGACATGACTGCTCCAGGCTGCCCGGCCAGTAAAGGGCACGGCCAAAATTCCCACGCTCCCGGGCACCCCTGGAGCCCAGGCCCTTGACGGTGAGGGCCACAGGCTCTGGGCCCGGCGCCATCATTCGGATCTCAATCAACTGCAGCAAATAACTGGACACTCCTTTGCGACTAACCGAGCGATGATGCTGTCACCACAGGCCACTCAGATGAGCTAAGTGAGCACTCGGGTCGGGACTGCCCGGACGACATCTTGTCTCCCCCTGCCCCTCAGCTCCCACTCCCTAGGCAAACCTCTGACCTCGTCATCGCCAGCCCCTGCAACCATCCCTAACTCCACGTGCAGCACCTCACGCTCACTCTCCAACCGCGACCTCCTGGCTCATTCCCTCTGGTGCTTACCTCAACCCACTCACCCTTCAGCCACAGCAGCAATAAAGGCAACGGTCCCGTCACGCCACCAACCCATTCCCTCCTCACCCAACTGAAAATCCGCAGCCCACCACCATCACAGCAGCCTGCATGCACCTTTAACTTCCCAGCCTCTCTTGCCTTCTCTGACTTTCTAGGCTAAACTCCAATTCTAGTTAAATCCCAGCTTCCCACCTACTCTGTGCCTGCAACTAGCAACTGAGCTCCCGACTCTGAGTCTCAAGTGGTCCTTAGTGGCCTGAGATTGCCGCTGCAGCTCCCTAGTTCCGGGGTCCACAGCCTCCAGCACGCATTAGGTCAGCTGGGGGCGGCCCTCCTAGAGTTTCTGACTCTCGAGAGAGTGTCAATGAACGCAGAGCTCTGTGGCCACTGCGTGAGAGCAAGTCCTGGAGACAGCACAAAAGGACAGAAGGGGCCAGGCAGGGGCCGGACCAGGACCACCACACCATGCCCTCGCTGCATGCCCCAGTCCCCAGGTGTGGGGGGAAACAGTACCATTTCACTTGCAGAAACCCGCACTTCAAGGAAAATAGCGTCAACAGCGAGCACAATGGCGAGATGAAGAGGCTGGTGCCCACCACTGCAGCTAAGTACAAATGCGGCAGGTTTCCAAAGTACAACAAAAACATAAGCAGAGCACACCTGTCCCTGTCGAGTCGACTCTGACTCATAGTGACCCTCTAGGACAGCAGAACTGCCCCACGGGGTTTCCAAGGCTGTAATCTTGACGGAAGCAGACAACACCTTTCTCCCAAGTAGCAGCTGGGGGGTTCAAACTGCCAACCTTTTGGTGAGCAGGTGAGCGCTTAACCACTGCACCATCAGGGCTCCCTCCTTTTTTTTTTCTTTTCACAAAAATAAATATAATCTGAAAACTGTCATCCTAAAAGTATATTAGAATTATGAATACATCAATACACACTGACTGTTTTCTCTTCAGCGCCCAGCAGTACCACGACAAGTTCTGAGTAAATACAGTGGTTGTCAATCCAGAGCACACAGAGGTAGGGTGGTCCTCCCCACCCCGTGGCACCGTGCCTCCACTGAGACAGCGGCCTCTGACCCTCTAACCATTCCCGAGAGAAGGTGCTCAGAGTCCCTACAGTTATTCACTCCCACTTCTAACAAATTTGCCCAGAAACAGTCTAAGACGACAGGATATCCCACGGAAGCGGGTCCCCCCACATACCTGAAACGTTAGTGAACCCAGCGCCGCCCCACCTTCTCTTATCCCTGATTAGAATCCACCTACCGTTTCCTGACTGAAAATGACCTGTTCTTTCCTCCTGCAGGTCCTCTAACTGAAAACCCAAAAGGTGAACCCATTTCTCCAACCGAGCAAATACAAACTCGTGCTGCCTTTAGAAACCGTATCTGCATATCCACACATCCACACAGCAACAGGGACCTATCTGCAGTTCCATGTTTCTGTATTCAATCCAGCAACTCATTTCTACGTTACAAAGCTCTGCACAGACTCTGTCTGCAGCAAGGGAGAATGAAGAAAACCAAAGACACAAGGGAAAAATTAGTCCAAAGGACTAATGGACCACAACTACCACGGCCTCCACCAGACTGAGTCCAGTATAACCAGATGGTGCCCAGCTACCACCACTGACTGCTCTGACAGGGATCACAACAGAGGGTCCCAGACAGAGCTGGAGAAAAATGCAGAACAAAATTCTAACTCATAAAGAAAGACTAGACTTTCTGGTCTGATAGAGACTGAAGAAACCGTGAGAGTATGGCCCCTGGACACTGTTTTTTTTTTTCCTATTTTATTTTTATGTTTTTTAAATTGTACTTCAGGTGAAGGCTTACAGAACAAATAGTTTCTCATTTAATAGTTCCTACAAATGCTGCCCTATGACAATGGTTAACAATCTCACAATACATCAACAATATCCTTACTCAACCTTGGGTTCCCTATCACCAGCTTCCTTGTCCCCTTCTGCCTTCTGGCCCTTGTCACTGGACTCCTGTACCTTGTTAGTCTCATTTGGTTTTACAGGGTTGTCCACTCCCAGGCTGAACAGTGAACCTCGGCGGTAACTTCACCACTGAGCTAAAAGGGTGTCTGGGGGCCATACTCTCGGGGTTTCTCCAGTCTCCTTTAGGCTAGTAAATCTGGTCTTTTTTTTTTGTGAGTTAGAATTATGCTCTACATCCTTCTCCAGCTCTGTCCAGAACCCTCTGTTGTGATCCTGGTCAGAGCAGTCAGTGGTCGTAGGCAGGCACCATCTAGCTATACTGGACTCAGTCCGGTGGAGGCCTTCGTAGCTGCAGACAATTAGTCCTTCGGACTAATCTTTTCCTTGTATCCTGTTCTCTTCATTCTCCCTTGCTCCCGAAGGGATGAGACCAGTGGAGTATCTTAGATGGCCGCTCACAGGCTTTTAAGACCCCAGACACTACTCACCAAGGTAGAACGTAGAGCATTGTCTTTATAAGCTGTGTCATGCCAATTGAGCTAGATGTTCCCCGAGACATTGGTCTCCAGAGCCCTCCGCCCGGACACCCTTTTAACCCAGTACTGAAGTTACTCCTGAGGTCCACCCTTCAGCCAAAGATTAGACAGGCCCATAAAACAAATGATACTTAATGGGCACACCAGCCCAGGACAAGGACGAGAAGGCAGGTGGGTTGGGAGAGATGGTAACAGGGAATCCAAGGTCGACAGGGAGAGTGTTGATATGTCATCAGGTTGGCAACCAATGTCACAACACAGTACATGTATTAATTGTTCAATGAGAAGCTAATTTACTCTGTAAACCTTCATCTAAAGTAGAATTTAAAAAAAAAATTATGCACAAGTTAAAATTTAGAGGCAAGTCCAAAATAAATTTTTTTTTACTTGCCTCTTTTAATTAAGAACTTAAACCCCATAAAAATTAAAACTTTTGTTCATCAAAACACTTTACCAAAAAAGGGAAAAGACAAGCTACAGTCTAGAAGAATATCTTCTGAAACCATTTATCTGACAAGAATCCAATGAAAATATACATAAAACTTCAGCAACTTAACAACAAAAATACAAATGATGTGGAACGTACAAAGTATGAACCTAGGAAAACTGGAAGTCATCAAAAATGAAATGGAATGTATAAAGATCAATATCCTAGGCATTAGTGAGCTGAAATGGGCTGGTATTGGCCATTCTGAATCAGACAATCATAAGGTGGACTATGCCAGGAATGACAACCTGAAGAAGAACGGTGTTGCATTCAGCGTCAAAAGGTAAGGTAGAGGGTCAGCGAAAAAAAGAAAGACCCTCGACTAGGTGGATTGACATGGTGGCTGCAACAATGGGCTCAAACACAGCAACAATTGTGAGGATGACACAGGACCGGGTAGCATTTCCGTCTGGTGTACGCGGGGTCACTGTGAGTCAGAACTGACTCAATGGCACCTAACAACAACCACAAAGATGGCTGGGATACAAAAAAAAACCCAGAAAATAACAAATGTTGGCGAGGATACGGGGAAACTGAAACCCTTATCCATTGCTGGTGGGAATGCAAAACAGTACAGCCATTGTGGAGAACAGTGTGGTGATTCCTCGAAAAACTAAAAACCGAACTACCATATGACCCAGCAATTCCACTCCTAGGTATGTACCCAAAAGACTTGAAAGCAGAGACTCACACAGAGACTTGTACACTAACGCTCACTGCAGCACTATTCACAATAGCCAAAAGGTGGAAACAACCTAAAAGTCCATCAACAGATGAATAAATAAACAAGATGTGGACGTACATACAATGGAATACTACTCAGCCAGTAGGAGAAATGAAGTCTTGACACATGCTACAATACGGATGGAGTTTAAAGACATTATGCTGAGCAAAGTAAGTTAATCCCAGAAAGACAAATATTGTATGGCCTCACTTATATAAATAGGTAAGAAAAGGCAAATGTATAGAAAACAAAGTTTATTAGTGGTTACCAGGGGTGGGAGGGAGGGAGAAAGGGGGGGCTAATGGTGATGGAAATATCATGCTGATTAAGGGTAGGGTTGAACAGTCGATTATTGTAATTGCTGTCACTAAGTTGTACACCTGTAAAAAGTTGAATTGCCTGAAGTTGTGTGATAGATATGTGTACAACAACGGCAAAACAAAAGGAGTAGCTGCTGAGGCTGCTTATGTACAACCAAAAACCTCATGGGATTTGATTTCTTGGTTTGCAGGTTTAGGGTCACGGTTTCATGGGACATCCCAGTTAACTGGCCTAATAACAAGTTTATTGCTTCTGCTCTACCTCAGTTCAAAGATTGCAAGCAGCCATCCAAGGCACAACAATTGGTCTCTTTTCACCTGGAACTACCGGGGAAGGAGAGCCAGGAATAGGAGGAGGATATGGAATGTGTGGCTAATTGCCTCCATGAACAACTGCCTCCTTTGCCATGTGACCAAAAGAACTGGATGGTGCCCAGCCACCATTACTGAACATTTTGATCAAGGATTCTGTAAAAGAATTCTGATTAAAGGGAGTAAAATGCAGAACAGAATTTCAAATTCTCATGGACTCCCGACTTCCTGGAGTCATAAAGGTCAGATGAACCCCTGAAACTACTGCCCTGAGATAATCTTTAAACCTTAAACCAAATATATCCCCTGAGGTCTTAAAAGCCTGTGAGTAGCCATCTCAGATACTCCACTGGTCTCACCCCTTTGGGAGCAAGGGAGAATGAAGAAAACAAGATACAAGGAAAAGATTAGTCCCAAGGACTAATGGACCACAACTACCACGGCCTCCACCAGACTGAGTCCAGTACAACCAGATGGTGCCCGGCTACCACCACTGACTGCTCTGACAGGGATCACAACAGAGGGTCCCAGACACAGCTGGAGAATAATGTAGAACAAAATTCTAACCCATAAAAAAAGACTAGACTTTCTGGTCTGACAGACACTGGAGACACCCAGAGAGTATGGCCCCCGGACACCCTTTTAGCTCAGTAATGAAGTCACTCCTGAGGTTCACCCTTCAGCCAAAGATTAGACAGGCCCATAAAACAAAACGAGACTAATGGGGCACACCAGTCCAGGGACAAGGACTAGAAGGCAGGAGGGGACAGGAAAGCTGGTAAAAGGGAACCCAAGGTTGAGAAGGGAGAATGTTGACACGTCGTGGGGTTGTTAATCATTGTCATAAAACAATACGTGTACTTTTTTTTTTTTTTTTTTTAATTGTACTTTAGGTGAAGGCTTACAGAACAAATAGTTTCTCATGAAACAGTAGTACACATATTGTTTTATGACACTGGTTAACAACCCCACAACATGTCAACCCTCTCCCTTCTCGACCTTTTTTTTTGGTGAAAATATACATAGCCAAAGATACACCATTTCAAAAATTTCTACATGCCCAGTTCATTGACATCAACTACGCTCTTCCAATTGTGCTGCTATTCTCACTTTAGATGAAGGCTTACAGAACAAAATAGTTTCTCATTTAACAGTTATGTACTAACTGTTTAACGAGAAACTATTTGTTCTGAAAACCTTCATCTAAAGTACAATAAAAAAAATTTTTTTTTTAAATCATATTAAGCCCAAAACAAATATATCCCCTGAAGTCTGTCAAACCAAACAATAGTTTAGCTTAACTAGTAAAAAAAAGTTTACTTGAGCATTATGCTATTTGAAGAACTATCTATACCGGATCAAACTGACAGCAGCAACTTGAAAGATTAGATAGGAACCTTAGGGAGCAGTGAATTTATGTTAATGGGGGAGGAACAAAGCAGAAAAGGAGGGTGAGAAGGGTTGCACAACTCAAAGAATGTAATCAGTGTAACTGAATTGCACATGCAGAAACCATTGACTTGGTGTGTGTTTTGCTGCGTGTATTCTCAACAACAACACGCAACTAAATAAATTTTTTTAAAAAATCATTTCTAAGAGACAATTACTCTAAAGCAAAGATGAAAGAGTAAGGGAACAGGGAAAGCAGATTACCGGAAGCAAAACATCCACAAGGGAATTAATGAAAGTGTGACACACTGTGAAATATGTAACTAATGTCTTTGAACAATTTGTATAGTAAGCTAAATGAGAACTGAATCTGCTGTCTAAGCTTGTACCGAAAAAAACGATAAAATGTTATTTAAAAGAAAGAAAATATATATATACATAAAGCACTAGGAACAGTAAAAGAATAAAAAAAAAGAACCCAAGCAACTTTATAGAAGAGAAGAAACCTAAGGAACGTGCTTTTAATAAAGTAAACTCCGCAGGATGAACTCAACAGCACATTTTTTAAAATTAAAATTGGAGTGTAAAAGTCAGTGTGCACTTGCAACAAACTTTCTGACTGGACTATCCTTGAGATGTTTCTGATCCACTAGCTCAGAGATCACTGCTCCTTAAAATCATGCTGTTATAAAATGGGATATGTTGCAGAAGTTTTTGAAAAGTAACCAAGCGTTAATATAATGCACAGTATTCATGTTATCAGAAGCCCTGGGGCAACAACAGTTAAGGCGTCAGCTGCTAACTGAAGGGCTGGAGGTTAGAACTCACCCAGTGGCGCCAAGGGAGAAATAGCTGGCAATCTGCTCCTGTAAGGATCACAGCCTAGGGAACCCCAGGGCAGTTCTGCTCCATCACAGGGGTCACTGTGAGTCGGAACGGACCTCACAGTGCCCAACGACAGCCACACTAACGTGACTGATCACTCTCTTTAAGACCACGGGTCTGTTAGTAACAGAGCCCTAAGGACTCTGTGAAGGATGATTTCACCTGGGCCAATGAGGTTCTCAAACACTTGCCATGCTCTAGATTTTGGCAGCGTTCATACAATCAACTAATCAGAATTTTTAATCCCACGGTCAGCACAAATGAAACCAAGCTGTTGCCTCCAATGAAGGCCTCAAACGGGGTCAAGCTCCCGGTGAAGGCGCTCAGCTGGCGGCCTTGGCCCTGTTATCAGCAGGGTATCACAGGAGATGGGAACAAGCAGGAGGGTCCACGTGTGGGTCCCGAGGGAAGAGCCCGGGGATTGCAGGGGCCCCTCTAGCAGACTGGGACGCCCCCTGCCCACTTACAATTTCAGAACTGTCTGAAGGGGTCACGGCCGAGTCGGGCCCTTCGGTGGTGGTCTGGGAGCTGTCGCTGATTGGGGAGGAGGCCTGGGTCCCATCGTTTAAGTCCATGGCGGGGTCGGACGGGATGGCGCTGATCTGGCTGGAGCTGGGGCTCAGGATGTCCTCCTCGTCCCCCTCGGTGGCAGCACTTGCCAGGTCACAGCTGGCCAGGGCCACAGAGTCCGACTGCAGGGTGTGCTGTGACCGGGGCTGCTCAGTGATGATATCGTGACCTGTGGAGTCAGCAGCTGAGCTCGAAGACCCAGGAGTCGAAACCCCCGAAGAAGCAGCCAACTCACCAGTAATCTCACCCTTCACAGAGGCTGGAAAAAAGCAACGCTCATTCAACAAAGGGTCGAAATAACATTAAATATGGAATCAAACGTTTCAAAATGACAAAAAACTCACTGCCACCAAGTGTTTTATCTGCAAAACATCCTCAAATATAGTGAAAATTTGGACTAATAAACCTCAAAGGCAACACAGTACTAACTGAAGCTGCCTCGTGCTCCGGTACAGTATCAACAAAATCAGGACTATCAAGAGGTATTTTTTATACGCTGTGAATACTCTCAAATGGCATCTCATTGCAGAAACTAAAGGGAGCATGGCTGGCAACACTGCCACCTCAAGTTTTTAAGCAACTGCTCCAGCGCAGGCTCAGAGCAACAGCTCAGGTCTTTTATAAAGCAGAGGCAGCCGGATAGGGGGAACTCAGCTGGGCGGTCACGACACCACAGTCCTCCAGAAAGGGTAAAAACGACGGTGAAGTCGTCGTATCTTTGCGGTGGTCTTCCCTTCTTCCAAGAATCCTGGGAGGCACAAACAGTTAAGCACTCAACTAGTAACCAAAAGGTTGATGGTTCAAACCTGCCTAGAGGTGCCTCAAAAGAAAGGCTTGGTGATCCACTTCCAAAAGGCCACACCTTGTAAACCCTACGGAACAGCCCTACTCTGCACACACCGAGCCGCCACGGGTCGGAAATGACTCAAAAGCAACTGGCTTGGGTTTTTGTTCGTTTGTTTCGTTCTTCCAAGCGCCCGTTCAGGAGCCCTGAGCCAGCCTTCTCCTCCTACAGAATAAATGCGCACCACATTGCCTGGTTTGGTTTTTAAATTCCCATGAAAAGACACGCGTGCACCCAAAAAACTCACTACAGAAAGACACGCGCCAAGCTTGTGGTCATTCCTGGAGGCGACTGGCTTGTGAGCTTCAAGTTGCTCAGTAGACTTGCAACTTTTTGTGATTTTTAACAAGTTTATTTCATTTTTATAGCCAGGAAAAGCTCAATTTCTATTTTGTAAAATAAAAGAATAAACAGCCACCACTGGAATTGTTTCGATTCTCCTTCCCAAATATTTCAGCCCTTATTCTCAGTTATCTAAAAAGATTCTTTTGGATAGGATTATACAACCAAAACACTCTCATTTACCCCAACTGTCAGTATCTTAGTCGGCACACATCTTGTACAAGGTGAACAGAGAATTAGGTAACTATCTGTAAACAAATGTAGATTCTTTCAAGTTACATTATCCACAGACAATCTGCGATTCCATTCTACGGCTCACTGCGCATCCAATCGTGAGATACCTCTACCGACCCACCAGCCCTTTCCCAAGGCTTACACTCAGGGAGTATAAGCTGAATTTTAAAACAACCCAGACCAAGTGGGAAAGTAGCAGACATATGCTGCATGAAAACACACACATACATGCCACATGCATGCACGCACCAATGTCAGCACTACAGAAGATGTTGAACTAGCCACCATTTCTGCAAGCTGTCTTTCCAGCTGCCCTCCAGCAGCCTGGAGCCCTGGTGGCACGGTGGTTAAGAGCCCGGCTGCTAACCAAAAGGTTGGCAGTTTGAATCCACCAGCTGCTCCATGGAAATCCTATGAGGCAGTTCCACTCTGTCCTATAGGGTCACTATGAGTCAGAACTGAGTCAACAGGAACAGGTGTGATTCTGGGTTTTCCAGCACCCTCCAGCAGCACCCCTACAGAGAGGCGTACGGGGAGAGGCGGGCTGAGCGGAGCAGGTGCCGGCCGGCACGGCTGCGCAGAAAGGAGAACTACCTGCAAAGGTGGAGCTGCTGACGTCCGACCGCGATTCAGAGTCGTCTTCCAAGCCTTCCTCCTCCCCTTGGAGCACTTTACCTGTGGAACAATGCAGCGATGGCCCTTTTTAGCTGGCTAAAAATGAGGACTTGGAACATTAAAGAAATCCACACTCTAAGTGGAAAGCCATCAGCGTATCCGACTTACCCTCTCAGACGGCTGGTCATCTGATGTAGACACACTTATACCTCTCGGGTGTTAACACCAAGCCCACGGAGCCACTTTCATCATGTTCTCGAGATCACTAAGCCCATACTGAACAAAAGCTAAAAGCAATGATTCTGAAACTGCACAGCAAAGCACACTGAAGCCTGTGCGAGCCGGGACTCGACGGGCTGCCTTGTTTTTCTGGGTCTCGCCAGTTTTCCGCCTTTGACAGGGTGCAGTCTGACCACTTTTCTATCCTCTCTATTAGTGGAAAATATTGGAGTTTTCCTTCTCTGACAGGTTTCTGCCTTACACAGGTTTTACTGTATTTTAATAATAAATATTTACTGCTTTAAGATTATTGTTAATGCTAAATAACTTTATTTAACCTTAAAAATTTAAGTTATGGCTAAACAAAACCAATTCTGTTTGCCCTTGGAATATTCATGTCATATCTCCAACGGCACATGAGAATTTATATATAAAAGTTTTACCCCTAAAGGTCACTTTGATTTTTTTCTCTTTTAATTTGCCAGACTCGATGGCTGACAATCAGAACCCCAGCACTAAGGTCAGGCACTGTCATCTCTTGCGAAGTTCCAAAAATACATTTCATAGTTCACACTTTCCAAATTATATTCATTTAAGAATATTAAACGTTTTAACATGATTCATTAAATCCTGATTACTACATTACATATGAACTTCATTAAATGACACTATCTAAATAATTCCTGGCAATTTCTAAGTTCTTATTTCACTCCTCTTCAACAGGTCACGGGGGTGCTAACTCCCTCAAACCTACACGGATGTGACACTAAAAAAGCAGTGATAATAAATACAAAAAAAAATCCAAATCCAGATGACGCTAATACAGCAACTCGCATATATACTAAATAATAGGGCCCTTTATTAAGAAGCCCTGGTGGCACAATGGTTAAGTGCTCGGCAGCTAACCAAACTCACCAGCAGCTCCACAGGAGAAAAGACCTGGCAATCTGCTCCCGTAAAGATTACAGCCTAGAAAACCCTATGGGGCAGTCCTACTCTGTCATATAGGGGTGTTACGAGCAGTGATAGACTTGAAGGCATCCAACAACAACAACAACAACAACAACAGCACCCTTCACTGCCGAACAAATCACCTACCTTGATAAATCAAGCAAAGTTTCGAAAAGGTAAATTGGATCTAAATGAAAGCGGTCTCTACCTATTCCATGGAGCCCTCCCTAGTTACATAGGATCCTGGGGGTGTGAGGGCGGGGCTGCTATCAGAGAAGAGACTCCAGACCACGCCCTAAACCCTAACTTCAACCAGAACAACTTTGTTTTTATCTATCTTATACATTAGCAGACTCCACTTGCAAAAAAAAAAAAAAAGATTTTTCTCCTACAACAAACAAGTTTTAAAACCACAGCTATTAATGAAAAAAAATTAAAAACACTTTAAAAAAAAGAGAAATTGAGGGTATGTCCTGTGTACCCGCAGACAAGGACAAAGCAGCTGATCTCAACACTGTGAATCAGCATTTTTCACATCTGTCACGGGAAAAGTGAATAGGAAACAAACAAGGCAAGTATCAGAATAACTGAGTTACATGCCCAAAAAAGGCTTCCTAATTCAAGAATACAGACATTCACTTTTCCTAAAATCCTTTCAGCTTTTAAACAATCTCAATGTTTCACCAAAATCTCAAACTTAATCGATTAAGTATTCCACACGATGATGGTCCAGATATTATTGACTGAACGTTCTTCCAGGCAACATTTACTTAATTCAGTGTGGGCTAGAAAGTTAGGAGTGTCCTGTTCAGATTCAATTCACTACTACAAGTCATGACACAAAAAAGGATTAGTCGTCCAGGAGTTCCCTGCTTCCCACGGAAATTCAGACAGGAAAAGAAAATAACCGGTAGTGCAAAGTCGGGTGACGTGTACCCAAACTGTCAGATTATATCAGAAACGCTTTAATAAAAGTAAGTTAATTGTATCAGAACATATTAGTATGTACAAAGTTAAACACGGCTGAAAAATGATAACCAGGCCCAAATTAACAAAATAATTAACCAAACAAAAGAAGCTATTTATAATATTTCTGACTAACATTAGACAAAATACATAGGGAAGATAAGTTACCTTTATGAAACATAACACACTCCCAAAGCTGGGGCGGGCAAATGACAGCCTGCTTGTTTTTGTAAATAAAGTTTTACTGGCACACAGGCATGCACAGAGTATGGCCCACAAGGCTAAAATATTTACTGTCTGGCTCTTTCTAGAAAAAGTTTGCTGAGCCCTGTCCTAAAACACTGGAAACTTACGTTGAAGCAATTCTGATACCAGAGCAATTCTCAAAGGGCACCGTCTAGAACTATTCAGGCCTCATTATCAGATGCCAGCAGCGTTTACACCCACAACCAGGCTGATCAGAAGAGAGACACAGAGTCCAATGCATTGCGAAAACATAGAGAAAGCTGTAAGATTCAACCCAAGACTTTGATTTCTGAAATAATCACCTTTTTGTCTTCTTGAAAGGACAGGGCTGCATGAAGAACCCCCTCCAGCTGTAAATCACAGAAAAGTGACAGATGAAAGTAAGGCAATAAGCAGCTAGAATCTAGAAGGAATTCAGTATCTTCAAAGAGCTTGATTCAGTTTTAAGACTGGAGAAAATGCGGTGAACAACCCTCCAGAGCAGGTGTTCAAATGCCACATTTCAACATGTTTACTTTCGACAACATGAAAAGTTATATTCGGACTCAATTATATAGTTATAAAGATATGACCGAGAACGTCAAATGAGCTAAAATAAATTATATTTAAAAAGGCAAATTAAAAATATTTGCAATATCAGATTATTTGGCAACTAATAATCAAGTATAAATCTTTATTAGAAGCAATCATTAGAAATGAATATTTCTACTAATTATTTGTAAGGCCTGCATTCAACAGAGAAAAGGATCGTTCAGTACAAAGAACAGTGAACAAGACATACTAACATTTTCTAATCATGGTTCAGGCAAACATTTACGTTCAAACGAGGACGTAATTAGGCATCCAGTAAAATCTCTCTAATCGTCTAATCAAATCTCTCTGTCTAAGCTGGGATTGAAAGGCTGTGCTGGACACACACTGCAGTGGTCCAGGAGAGGCCCTGTGAGTCAGCAAATACTTACTGAAAGCCCACTAGGTATTAGATCCTAAGGCTGGGATTTAGGAATTCCCAAGTCAGCCCACTAAGGCTGAGAGGAAAACCAGCGCTCACTACTCCAGGGCAGTGTTCCTTCACAGCATTCACATCTCATCTTGGAGTCCCCAAAAGTACATGGAGTTAAGGCCCAGTCGCCAAGAGTACATGGAGTTAGGGCCCAGTCTCCAAGAGTACATGGAGTTTAGGGCCCAGTCTCCAAGAGTACATGGAGTAGGGGCCCAGTCCCCAAGAGTACATGGAGTTAGGGCACAGTCCCCGAGAGTACATGGAATTAGGGCCTAGTCTCCAAAAACATATGGAATCAGGGCCCAGTCTGCAAGAGCACAGAGAAGTGCAAAGACTGAGCAGTGCAGGTGGTTGCCTTAGGAATGGAAGGGATTTTCTAGTTAGTTAGGGTGGGGCGAAAAGGACCCAAAGGGCAGAAAAAAACTTTAAAATCCCTATGAAGATCCCATCTCTGGCAAAGGGACCTGAAGGACCGTGGAAATGCTTTCCCTAACATTTTCACCTCACCATCTCTGAGAAGACACGTGGAGGATGCCGAGTCAGAGAGAAAGAGTCGAGGGTTGGGCTTCATTTTTGGTCTTGTCTCACCACCTAACCTTTCTAGACTTCAGTCCTCCTGTGTGTAAAATAACCTGCATTATGGTAAGTTTTGGAAAAAATTAAATGTAAACTGCTCAGCACGCTGCTGGGGCCATAACTCAATGAAGGGTCACTAGCACTGTGGTCAAGGAACCCTGGTGGTGCAGTGGTTAAGAGCCTGGCTGCTAACCAAGGGGTCAGCAATTCGAATCTACCAGCTGCTCCTTGGAAACCCTAAGGGGCAGTTCTACTCTGTCCTACAGGGTCGCTGTGAGCCGGAATCAACTCGATGGCAATGTGGTTTTCTTTTCGGTACTATGGTCAGGGCAAGTTACAGGAGCCCAGCCTTCCCAAGCACTCACCTATGAGCTCCACGATACTCCCGCTGCGGCTCCTGCAGCTCGGCTCGTCCCTGGCCGCAGTGAGCCGCCCGAGGCCGCCTGCCGTGGTCAGAGCCTGGAGGAGCTCCGGGGGAGGGGTCCTGAAAATCTGCTGCAGCAGCTCCAGCGCCCCCGTGACAACGTTGTGGTCCGGGTGTTGCGTGTAATGCAGAGTCAGCTCATAAACCTAGATGCAAAGAGAAACACAGGTAGTATTATCATGGTTTAAAAATGTGTTGAAGATTTTACTTTCCTTCTTTTTAATAGGCTTTTGCTGGCAATATTTGTGCTTAACTTTTCCCCAAAAAAGTTCTTATTACTTCTACTAATGTGACCATTAGCTTCCATGTTATCCTGTAAATTCCCATGATTTATGCATTGCTATATTAATTCTTTAAAATAAATACAGTGGGAGGCGGAGCCAAGACTGCGGAGCAGTCACACGTTTCCGGCAGACCCTCTTACAACAAAGACCTGAAAAAACAGTGAATCGATTATATATGACAATCTAGGAGCCCTGAACATCAAAGGCAAAGTCGAAGAACCAGACTGAGTGGCAGGGGGAGGGAGAGATGGGTCAGAAGCAGTGAGGAGTTGCCAGACCTGACCCGGCGAGAACCTGACCCTTCAGGCCTGATCAGCTCCTGGGTAAGTGGTAAGGCAGGCAAGCAGCAGTGCTTGGGAGGCGTACTCCGCACAGGGAGAGACCCAGTGGCAGACAGTCTACTCAGCCATCCAGAACCAGTGAGAAGCAGCCCTTGATCAGCGAAAAATAAGTACCTGCGTCCGACCTACCACACAGATGAAAAACACCCCCCTTAGGGAAAAACCTCTCTCCCATTTACCCCCCACTCCCTGTTCTGCACTGGGTCCTGGACCAGCTTCAGCAATTGCCAAGCCCCCTGGGCCGGAAGTAGGATCTGTCACATGCCCTGAGCCATTCTCCCAGCCTTGGAGAGTGAACAAATTAACAAACAGGGAAAAAATAAACTGCCCGCTCCCCTAAGCCAGAAACCCTGGGTAGGCACAGCTCCTTTGCCTAGCCACAGGCATAAGGGATCCACAGACTCTGAGTGCCTTTCCCCCTGCAAAGACTTGTGTGGGCCCATTTCAACAGCCTAGGCCCTCATTACCGCAGTTCCACATGAAATATACCTGAAGTCTAACTTTAACTGTTTCAGCTGTGAAGTGGCAGGTTCTTGACCTCTGACACTGCTCTGCCCATTAAGCAAGGTCTTCACCTACCCACATTAGGGGCCTGTGGACTGGTGGCTCCACTCATGCCACCTACCCACCAGCAATAGAGGCCCAAGAATAAGAGGTGCCCACCAGGCCTTACAGCCAACAGCACTGGGTGCTCATAGTTCAGCTGCAAAACCCACCCACCTAAAAGCTCTAGGCAACAGGGGCACACCTTCCTCCTGGACACTTAGGGGTGGCCGTCAGTTCCATGACTTGCTCCAAGTGTGTCCCCCTGCTGCAGCCAGATGCCTCTGCCTACACCAATCACCCATGCCTGTGTAGGACTGTAGGTGAGAGCCTGCACCACACACTTGGTGGCTATCTACCTAGGCACCTGAGCTGAATCCATACAGGAGGAGTGGGTGGACTCCTGGGCTCACATACCTAGTTAACAGATCTAACCACCTGGTGACAGGGCGTTAGAGCTTCAAAGGTGCCAATAATCAAACTAGCTCATACGAGCAGCCTATTTGGGCATATCAAAGCAAAACAAAACAAAAAACTAGGATACAGTAAGCAAACATAAAATAAATAACTTATTGATGACTCACAGCCAACAGTCAATATCAAATCACATAAACAGGCAATCCACAATGGCTTCAGCAAGCCCCCAAAATAAAGAATCTAGAAATTTTCTAGAGGAGGAAAATTTCTTGGAATTACCGAAGGCAGAATACACAAGATTAATATACAGAACTCTTCAAGACATTACAAAGTAAATCAAGCAAAACGCAGAACACATAACAGAGGAAATTAAAAAGACAGAGAAGAGCATAATGACAAATTTACAGGCTGCAAGAATCCATAGAGAGACAGCAATCAGAAATCCAGAAGATTAACAATAAAATGTCAGAATCAGACAACTCAATAGAAAGTCATAGGAGCAGAACTGAGGCGATGGAAGTCAGAATTAGTAAGACTGAAGATAAAGCACTTGATACCAACTTATTTGAGGAAAACTCAGATAAAAGGATTTAACAAAATGAAGAAATCCTAACAATTATGTGGGATTCTATCAACAGGAATAACCTATGAGTGACTGGAATACCAGAGCAGGGGGTGGATAACAGAAAATACAGAGAGAATGGCTGAAGATTTGCTGGCAGAAAACTTCCCTGATATCATGAAAGATGACAAGGTATCTATCCAAGATGCTCATCGAACCCCATATAAGGTAGATCCCAGAAGAAAGTCTCCAAGACATACTATAATCAAACTTGCCAAAACCAAAGATAAACAGAATTTTAAGGGTGGCTAGGGATAAACAAAAAGTCATCTACAAAGGACAGTCAATAAGAAAAAGCGTGGACTACTCAGCAGAAACCATGCAGGCAACAAGGCAATGGGATGACATATATAAAGCCGTGAAGGAAAAAAACTGCCAGCCAAGAACTATATATCCAGCAAAACCGTCTCTCAAATATGATGGCAAAATTAGGGCATTTCCAGATAAACAGAAGTTTAGGGAATTCGCAAATACCAAACCAAAATTACAAGAAATACTAAAGGGAGTCCTCTGGTTAGAAAATCAGTAACATCAGATAACAATCCAAGACTAGAACACAGGACAGAGCAACCAGATATCAACCTAGACAGGGAAGTCGCAAAAGTTAAAATACTGAAAATAGGGAAACAGATGTCAATATGTAAAAGATGACAACATTAGAACAAAAAAGAGGGACTTAAAAAA